TCGGTCACTGTGGGTATAAATAGTGGGGGACCCCAGTCGCTTTGTCACTTCTGTGCTTTGCCTCTTGAGCTCGCGTCCAAGTTTCAGCTCACGTCCAGGCTTTCAGTTCGCGTTCAAGGTTTTTGCTCGTTCAAGTTTTTGTAGTCTTGTTCAAGCTTTTTTTCCGGGTGAGTACCTTCCTGGAATCCACCTTCTCTCCTCGATGTCTAGCTCGGAAAGCTCAGACGGTTCTTCAAGTGAGTCAGATGCAGGTTCCATGAACTGAGTTGCATCCCTTGATAGTTCTCGCGAGCCGGAGGTAGAGCTCGAGGAAGAGTTTGAACCCGTAGGTCGAGTCGCCTCRGGTAGTTTGGCGTCCACCTCTCGTCTGGGTCGGACGTTAGACAAGTTTGGCCCCTCGACCATGACGCCTGAGGGGCTCCAATCCCTTATTACCTATTACAATTTGTCTGGGGAGTACGCTTATTTCATACCTTCGGGTAACTTTCCTTAGGAACACGGTCTTGATTAGATCGTGATATTCCGGGAGTAGCTCGCTGCGGGGCTGCGATTGTCTTTCCATCCCCTCCTTGTCGAGGTCTTGAATCACTTCGGCGTTACGCTCGGCCAGCTTCACCCGACCTCCATTCGTAATTTGGTGGGGACAATCTCCCGATTTTGCGAACAGGGCTTTCCTTTAGACTTGGAGATCTTCTCTTCCATCTTAATGCTTAAGAAGCAAGCGGGTCTCCTCCCCGAGCGTATGCGGGCGTATTACTTGTCTCCTTGCTCGAGTTTTAAGCTTTTACATGAACTTCCTAACAAGGTCCCGGCGTGGAAGCGGGACTACTTCGGGGTGCGAAGTGTGCTGGGGTGGCCGTTTCAGACCGGGTGGGGGATGGCCGCCCCCGACTCCGATGTTACGCTTGACAAAGAGACAATGAAGGGCCTCCAGCAATGGACGCGGCTTGGGCTAAAGTGCCAACAGTATCTGACGGAGGCCAAGCTCATTGCGGCCGCCCTTAGTTCGGGTAGGTTCCTTACTTAGAGGTTCTATTTTGCTCTGTCTCTTGCTTTTTTCTGATGCCGAACTCCTTTTTGCAGGTGTGATGGACTCAGGAAGGACTCATGGTGGGCACTTGTTTCAAGGCATGAAGAGGAGGAAGCGAGTCGCCATGCGAACTCGCGCCGAGTTGCCCCGGGATGCGGAGCCCGAGGTACCAGACTACCCGTCAGAGGATCCGCCCAGGGAGCCCGAGATGGCTCCTCCAATGCAAGAAGCGGTAGGGGGCCCGTATGCTGAGACTACTTACACGGGGGCTCCNNNNTACTCTGGTGCTCCTGCTTACTTTGGGTCTGCTCATACGCGAGCTGGGCCCTCGGGCTCGGGGGCCCCAGGGGAATTCAGGAGTGTGCTGTCGCCAACCCACGCTCTTCAGAAGAGTAAGGAKGCCATTTTCCCCGAGGAGGTCGCGGCATGGACTGATCTCCCTCTGCACCAGGTGGGCCCTCAGGCTCGAGCTCTTTTGCTTTTATCCTTCTTGTTGTCGTTCTTTTGATCACTTGTTCTTTCTTTTTGGTAGGTGAACTCTTCTATCCATGCCTTGGCGGCCTAGGTGGAAAGGAGCTCGAGGCAGGCGCGATCTGCCGAAGAGGCTCTTCGTGCTGCCGAGACGACTTCCCGAGCTGCTAAGGCGACTGCTCGTGTTGCAGAGGCCAAACAGGCGAGGTCTCAGAGAGATGCCGAGGCCATGGGAGTCGTAGTGAAGCACATGGCGGACCTGAGGCTGGATTTGCAGCACCAGGTCGAATACCTTCAGGAGGACATTAGGGAGAGGACGCAGATCTTTTCTCAAGGTATTGAAGATGCCAAGAAGAAGGTTGTCGATGAGTACATTGCCTCGCCGAGCTTTGACGACCTAATGGTGGACTCGTACCGAAGGGGTTTCAAGCTAAGTCGGTGGATGATCCTGAATACGT